GGCCGCCGCTGGCGCTGGGGCCGCCGCTGGTACAGCTGAGCTTGAGGCCGGAGCCGATCCGGAGGCGGGGGCTGAGGAGGGCCGACAGGCTGAGGGGCAGGCTCAAGACATGCAGGTGGACAAGGACGTGCAGGGCGGCGATGCGGAGGAGAGGGAGGAGCCCGGGCGTCAGCCGGGGTTGGACCCGGTGATGGCGGGCCTGAGGCAGCAGAACGCGCGGGAGGCGCAGCAGCGGGAGCCGGCGCCGAAGTCCCTGGAGCTGTCCAGCACTCAGAGCCGCCACCGGACCGCAGCGCAGCAGCAGCCCGCCATGCAGCAGCAGCAGCCCGCCATGCAGCAGCAGCAGCAGCAGCAGCAGCAGCAGCAGCAAAACGCAGGTCCTCCTCTGGAGCCCGCCATGAGGCAGCAGCAGCAGCAGCAGCCCGCCATGCAGCAGCAGCAGCAGCAGCAGCAGCAGCAGCAGCAGCAGCAGCAAGCAATCCCACCACGGCCGAAATCAGTGGCGCAGGAACTGCAGCGGTTCCCCTCGCTCAAAACGCCCGCGCAAGCTGCCCAGGTCGCGGCGACTTGGGCGCCGCCCAAGCTGCGCAGTCGGCCCCGGTGGGCGCCTTCGTGGTTGCCTCGCGTGGTCGGCAGCGCGACTGCAGCCGGCGCGTCCCGGGGGGGCGCGGCCGCACCAGACAGTGAGGAGGAGGAGGAGGAGGAAGATTATGATGATGATGAGGAGGAGGAGCAGCAGCAGCAGCAGCAGCAGCAGCAGCAGCGCCGCGGCCCGGGGGTGATGCAGACGGCGCGGATGGTTGCAAGGGAGGAGGAGCGCCGCGGCCCGGGGTTGATCCAGACGGCGCGCAAGGTTGCGAGGAAGACCGCGGCCGGCGCGAGCGTGCGGCCGCTGATGGGGTCCCTGCCTGGGACGCATCGTGGGGGCGACGCTGGCGCAGCAAGCGGGGGCGGCGCTGGGGGTGACGGAGGGGCAGGAGGCAAGGCGGCACAGCCACAGGTGGGCAGTGGGCTTGCGAAAGGGGGGCCTGCCCTCCTGCGGCCGTCCCTCCTGGCGCTGGCCTTGGGCTGATGCATGCCATGACGACGGGTGGCTTTTTTTAAATGGGGGGATTGGCATCTGGGCTGTTACAGCGTCCGGAGTCTGTGCAGCTGCCGTCGCCC